CCCCCCGAAGGGTGTTTTGGGCGCTGTGTCCCATCCCACCCCGTTCCATCCCATCTCATCCCCACCCTCCGTAGGTGGATGTCTCGCGGGACAGCTCAGTCCCGTCACAGAACGCGAGGGGCCCAGGGGAGCCTCCTGGAGGGAGCAGGGCCACGGGGCTGGGACTGGAGCAAGGAGCAGAACGAGCAGAGCAACGCACTGGGAAAGCGATTAATCCTCTGGGATAATTTTTCTCGCTGCTCCAAGCTATGGTTTTGGGGGGGAGATGAGGAGCAGCCATAGCTGGAGCCGTTCCCACAGCCTCTGCCTTTTCAGAGCAGAATTTTTTCCTCAAATAAGCGCGAGTTCCTGCGGCAGCCCCGGCGCCGCGCCAGCTCACATCATGGGCTGCCTTGGAGCGGGACCAAGGGTCCTCGACATCTCCCCGTGGAAGCGAGCTGTCAGCCCTTCTTCCCAGGGTGAGGGCTGAACAACTCCGAATGCAGCAGAAAGCCGCTGGAACGGGGGAGGGATTCACGCCCCTCCACCATCCCGCAGCTTCACGCTCACGAGATTCAGCTCCGGGGAGACCTGTAATTATCTGTTCCCAGCGTCTTCAGCAGAGCGTGAGGACACTGGCAGCGAGGGATTCAGTGATTCATCAGTGACCTTCAGGCACCGTGGATGTCCTGTTAAGGGGGACCAAGATAGTCTACAGAGGCTGGTAGCTGGTCTGCTGTGACTTCTTGATTCTACATTACATTGCCTTTAATGTGCTTTAAAAGTGGGATATTTTTATCATAAAAATGGGGTATGATACCCATCCATTACAGTGGAATAATCAAGAGTAGCAGAATAAAAGGTGACCATAGCAAAGTAAATTGTAATATTTTGTAATATTTTCAGTCCCTGTTATTTTCTAAAGCCACAAATCATCCTCTTCCTGAGCTGACCATCCTCCTCCCAACAGCTGGCAGTGCTGGGAGGCAGCACTGGTGGCACTGGTGGGATTCTGCCCGGCGCCTGCTGCAGTTTCACGCCTCGGTCCTCCGCAGCCCGGCATCTCCTCAGCTGCAAAACCACGGACTGGGACGAGCATCTTGCTGTGGAAGGAGTTTGGAGTGGCTCCCGCTTTGACAGCTAAAGCCGAAACACAGCAGAGCTCGAAGAACATGTTTCCACAGAAAATGCCCTTTGGCTGCAAGCAGCTGCTGTGGCTACACTGAGGATGGCTTTTACTTGAAACATATTTATTGACATTTGCGTCCCCTCCCAGGGGACACCATGCAGACAGCTGCAGCTCTGTGTCCTCCGCCCTCCTGACACGAACTGATGGGCTGGGGGTACCCTCTGCCCACAAGGGCCCCCATCGCCCCAGGGACCCCACTGCGCTAGATACCCTCAAACAGGAGTGCAGCTGCTCCTGGTGACCAGCGATGCCCAAGATCCTCCCAGTTCGCCCTCTCAAGACCTTCTGCAGTGCCTGGAACAAATGTTACATGTTTTAATGTCTTCGTCTCCCAGTCCGTCCCTACCAAGGATGCTGGTGTGAGACCCATCGCCCGGAGGCCTCCCAGGCCGCTCTGCTACCGTGTGGCTGAGTGGCACCTTGCTCGCAGATGGTCAACACGAAAGATCATCCTTTTTTTCAACAAATTTGCAGCCAAATGCTGGACCCTGGTTTAGGATTCTTGCTCCTCAGCTTTGGGATGTGGCCAGCAGAGGGCAGTGGGAAAACGCAGCAGCACAGGAGGGAGAGCGTTTCACCCAGGGCAAGGGAGGGCAGAACCGAGATAAGCAGCGTTCTTCGTGCAGGGGGATTTGGAAGAGCAGGGCTCAGTCGCTGCTGGAGCACCTGATGCCCAGCAGATCTCCCGCAGCCTGGAATTGGCCTCGTCCCCTCCACATAGCTGGTGAAGGCTCGCTCGTCAGGACCTTGCCAGTGGGGCAGGGTGTTGAACACCGCTGCCTGCCAGAGAGGAACCCCAGCCGGACTGCGCCGAACACAGCCCACGCGTTCCCACAGGCCTCTTCATTATGTTTTTTTGCCTGAAGAACGAGGATGAAGAAAGTGCACGGAGAGTTCGGGGATTTCCCCGACAGGGTAGATCAAAAGTTGCCAGGATGCGTTAGAGGAGACATTTAGGCTAAGGAAAACCCTGGGAAAAAACCGTGAAGCTCCGGTCCTGGGCTACTGCTCTAATCACCATGTTGCTGTGGGGAGAAAACCCCCCGGGCCTGAACCGATGCCCTCCCACCCGCTCCGGCTCCTGTTTGATCCGCAGAGATCAGGAAGTGGTTTTTTTTTTTTTTTCACTGTCTAGAAAGCAGAAAGGTGGTTTTTTTTTTTTTTCACTGTCTCTGTTTTGTTTCAGCGCTGTAGCCCGCGGGGCTGGTTTGTATGCCTGCCTCCCACGGAGGGTAATTTGGTTCCTCGCTCTGGTCGAGGCCACACCAGAGCACTGAGCTCCCACCGCTGCCTCCAGCCGGGTCGGGCAGCCCAGGCACCAGCGGGACAACCCGTCATCAATAGCCCTATTATTGCTCTTGAAGTTTCTCTCCGCTTCCAGACGGATGCTGCATTACTCCATCACAGCTGCAGTTGCTCCCTTCCAGCAATTCCCAACACAGCACTTAAGGCAGGGATTTATGGGCGGTTTTGAAAGGCATTTTGGAGTGAGAAGGCGTTATGGGAAAGTAAGTCAAATTCCCACCATTCCCCGGAAAACTCTCCCAGCATCTTTCACAAGAAGGATCATTTACTGATCCTTTCCTCTGAACAGAGACAAGCTCTCAGCTGTGGCTCTTTGTTTAGTCCGAAGAGTTTCCCGACAGCAAAAAGCAGCGGGGGTTATTCTGGTCCTGCTTGCAAAGGGTCAGGAGACCGAGGCGAGCCCTCGCTGTCTGGCTGCAAGGCTCTGCTGGACCCGATTTGTTCCCTGGCATTCTTGTGGATGCTGGTAGCTGAATGAAATGATTTGTTCTCAAGCCACGGATTATTGCCAATCTCAGGGCAAGTGTTGCTGCCTATCTGGCTGATTTTGACTCGCAGCGGTGTGCAAAGTAAACGTCATGGCACCAGAGTTACCAAGAGCAGCAGCTATAAAACGACCAGCAGGGAGGTTACCGTACCTTTTTTGAAGCTTTTCAGGAACAAAAGCTCACCTGCCGCCAAACTAGCAGTCATCGAAGCAGGCTGGATTAGCAGAATAGAGTCACATCAACACTACATTTCACAACCAGGACAGGGGTTTGAAAGACTTTATTTGACACCTTTGCTGGATGTCACAGCCTGTGAATCTAACAGCTCTGCACAGTGTAAAGTGAGGCCTGGCTACTTGCTGTGAGCTCTAGCGTGCCGACCAGCCGCAGGAACAACCGGGGCCCGCAAGGACCTCCTCTGACTTTATTAAGAGGAAATATGTTGTTCCTGGCTGATTCTGGCGCTTCGGGACAAGGGTGAGGAGAAGTAGCGGAGGCATTTCTGTGTGTTAAGTGCGATGACTTTCATCAAAACAACTGGGAGGGACTCACTTTCAGAACAATAGCAGATACAGACATGCACATGGCAGATACAATGTGCAGGAACGCAAACACCAGCTCATCCACACAGTGTAACCGGCTGCGCGCTTGACCTGAGGCGAGGGGAGAGCCTCTTCTGTTCAAGAGAGACCTTCTCCCTCTTTTTTACCTTCCTTTGCACTGACCTTTCCACCCTTTTCTCTCTTTTTGTGTCACAGTGCTGTGGAGGTGGGCGAGACTCCTTGGGGTGGGCATGCAGCTGGGTCCAGGCTATTCTGCATGTGCATCCCAGCAAGTCAAGGCACAGACGCAGGGAGCGGGGGCTGTTCAGACGAGGGGGAGCACTGGGAGACCCTGCCCCGGCCACCATGGGAGCTAGGGACATGGTACAGGAGCAGGATGGCTCAAGAGCTTCGGGTTTCTGTTCCTTTCTGCCCAAAGAAGAAAGGAAGGGAGGACAGCTGGAGGAGCAGAGGCATATCTGCTGCGTCAGTTATCTAGGGACACGCAGGCCAAGGCAGAAAAAGCTCTCGGGAATCAGGACAAGTGCAGACCCGGAGCTCGCCGAGGTCTGCGCTGAAACCTCACTGGGTTTTGGTCCCGGCTCGGGGAGAGGGATGAGCAATGCGAGACCAAGACATGGTGCTGAAGAAAGAAAACAGAGACATTGTGGGAAGAGACGGTGGGGGATGCAGGACTGAGAAAGAACGAGGGAGGCACTTCAAATGCCGGCTGGTCTGACCCATCCTCCCCCTTCGCAGTCACGGCTGTTCACCAGGGGATGGAGGAGAGACGGCTCCAGCAGGGAGACTGGCAGAGGGAAAGGCCTTTTCTTCTCACTTTGGCCAGCAGAGCCTTCCCCTCTGTGACAGACGTCCCTTTGAAATCCTCTGTCCGGCCTCTTCACACCTCGGTGCGGAGCAAGGGCCGCGGCAGCCTGGCCGGCTGCTCCCGCAGGGTTTGCGCAGGGACCCAGCACAGGCCCCGCAGACACCTCAGTGTCCAGCTCGGCTGTGGGAACGAGCTCTGTTGCCTCACTCCACCTTAAGGGCACAGAAGTGGGAAAAGCTGGTAATGCGGCGAGGAAAGCATGGGGATTAGCAGGCAGCCAGTTCGCTAAGGGAGCTGGGGGGGCTCTAGCCTGCCTTGCTGGGTGCCAGCAGTGCTGGGGAGGGGGGTGAGCTGCGTCCGTCCCACACCAAAATGAGGTGCTGCAGCCGGGGGACACATCGCAGGGAATCAGCATGAGCAAGTCTCCGTCTGGCAGCTCCGAGTCCCCGAGGAAATAAGGCGGTGTTTCAAGGCTGGCTGTTTTCCATAGGCGAGCAATGCGAGCAAGGCTGGGCGCCACGGAGGGGTTTGCTGGAGGAGGGGGAGGGTTGGGATCCATGTGTGCCCCCTCCCTCGTAGCCGGAAGGGTCTGGAGTACAGCCACGTGCAGACAAGTGCATCGAATTGGATGTGATTTACGTTTGCAGGCATCACGAGTGAAAGGACGTGCGATCCTGAGGCAAGGAAGGCGGTGTGAGGAGGGAGGGAAGAGTAAAGAGGATTTTCTTTATGGATCCTTGGATTCTGCAAAGCGAGAAAGATGCCTTTTCAGCTGAGTTTGTTCTTAGGCCTGTGGGCAATGAGTGCTGAAGAATTCCTGTCTCCGAAGGGGTGGGAAGGGTCAGAAAGCCCCGATTTCGGTTGCCCAGGAGCGGCAGATCCTGGATGTCCCAACCCTGATCCCGGGTCCCTGCGTGGCAGCGCCCAAGGCGGGAGGTGCTGTGTAAGCCGGTGGAACGGGGACGCCGGCGGAGGCTGGCGAGAAGAGGCGGGAGGGCAGCATGTCGCTGGGGACACGGCGAAGCGGGGCTGGCCTCACAGCAGGGCTTGGGTAAACCAGGGAAGATGCAGTCAAAACAACCGGAGCGGGAGCAGCCTCCCTCCTGGGGATTTGCACGGGGCCAGCAGCGCTGTGGAGGAAGGACCACGGCCACGTCTGGATGGGCAGGAGGGAAGTGGCCACAGGCGATGGCTCCATTTCTGCCACGTAATTATTCAGGTGGGAGAGGAGCCGCAGCCGGATGGGGTCGGCGGCGTTTTGGCCCTCGAGGATGCCCAGGTACCTGACAACTTCAGTGAGACATTCACGGAAGCCGATACTCCTGTAATCCACGGCCAGAGCTCGAGCATCTAAGAAGCCTGTAAGGAGAGGGCACGGGTGACAGTAAGTCCATGCAGAGCTCAGGAATGTGCTGTGATTTCACTACCCTCTCTAACGCACTGTGTATTTCACTTGAGGCACTTTGCTGCCCTGTGATATTACTGAAGCAGATAGCCAAGTGGGTGTCCGAAAGCACTGGACGCTTGTGTGCATGAGAATAGCATCCATAGTTATCTCCTCGGGGTAAACCTGCCAGGGTCATGAAGCCTCTTGCTCCAGCATGTGAGACAAGTAAGAGGTTTCATTCACTGTGCTCAGGAAGGAAGAAATTTTTCCTGTTGGACTCTATCAGTTATCACTGCTGGAGACATGACTGCGGGTTGGATGGGCACCGGGTCCCTCTTTGCAAACGGACCTTCCCCAGGTCTTGCAGAACAGTGGGACACTGTCTCCTCGAAGCACAGCTCAGCACCATTTTCCTTTGCCTGGGTCCCAATCTTTAAACTTCCTTTAAACAGATGTCCAGCTGAAGGACACACAGGACAGTGGCAGAACCAAGACCACTGGGGTGAGAAACTGGTGTGAGAAAGGTCAAAGCTGCAAAAATCAACAAGACAAAAAGCAACCGATGGCTGATTTTTAGGCTTCTGCTCCCTCCTTACAGCTTCAAGAGCCGACAAGCAATAAAGCAGAGAATGTCACAGCGCAGTGAAGCGCTGGACCACTTTGCTTGACGGGGTCTCTCGTGACAATACAGCCCTTTGTTGCAGTGCAGTCAAACTGAATATCTAAACAAATGTTCCAGACCAAGTTACAGCTCTGAACCAAAGCCTGGATGCCAGCAATGTCCCCAGCAAGCCAAAAATGGGTGGTAAGCAAGCCAGAGGCTTCTTTACTGGAGCTGTGATCTCCATCCTGTTAACTGGAACAGGACAGAGGGTCTGTACCGAGGTCTCAGTACAAATAAGACCTTTGTTGAATTTCGCACAGGGCTCCCTCTCTCTTCTTATAACAACTAAGAAACAAAAAAAAGAACAGAAAGGGAAAAAAGCCTTGTTTATTTGCAGAGTCTCCATGCAGAATTCAGCCTCTGCAGGAAATGTATCCCAGGGAGGAGGTAAAGAGTTTAATATCGTTTTTCTGGAAGCAGGCTCCATTTCTGAGCAGGACTAAGCACGACCCTGGCTGGGCAGCTTCTAGCAGGGTGCATGACAACAGCAGTGGTGCTGTCCCTTTGGGTCTGTGGGACCTGCTATCCCACACACCCCAGTCTTCCAAATGTAACCATGGGATGCTGACCCATATGTTAGACATAAGAAAAACAAGAAGGCAGGAAACATCCATCTGTCCTCCCTCGAAAAAGATTTCCCTTGGGAAGCAGGCAGGGCAGCATTCGTTTGGTGCTGGCTGGTGTCAGCAAGGCACGTCAGCACTGAGATACTGCTTGCTGCTGAGGTTGAGGAGGAATTTTCCTTCCAGGTTTTCACCTTCACCTCACCTGTACATTTACAAGAGCAGTTCTTACCTGCTCCTCCGGTGGCATGAAGCATTTTTAAGTGATCTACTGTCATTTGTAGAATTTCTGCCTTCTCCAGCTTGGAAGATCCCTGTGTGTTGCGAAGAGGAAAAAAAGAGCAATTCATCATTTTATGGTCTAGGGTTTTCTGCGTCTCAGGAGCTGGGTTTTTCAATGACCTCCTTCCCAAAAGCTTTGTGAAGCCCAGGAATGCTCAGATTGTAGCAGGGCATCCATCCAGGGCATTGGCTCTGTTTTTTACATCAAGTGAGTAGAAAACGGAGCTCCTTCCCGAGATCCCCCGATGTAAATTGAAAACCCCCATTTCTGTGCATCTTCATATCTGCAAAACGCTTTCTGGATTGAATTTGTCCTCCCTAGGGCTCCTGAATATTTGCTAATACTGTTTTACCACCCAGTTTCACCACCTACTTACTCCCTGAAGTGATGATGATAAGAAAAACATAGCAATGCTCCAGACTTTCTCATTCTGAGGGCTCTACCCTTGCACTGCTGCAACGCAGCCGGCACGGGAGGCTGTGTGGAAATCACGACACCCACACACCTGCTTCTCGAAGGCGGTGGGCACCAGGCGCCGCAGTTCGGAGAGGCTGCTGTTGATACGGTCACGGCGCCGCTTCTCAATGATCTGCAGGAGATTTCCAAGCGGAGAGAACAAACCATGGTCATTTACGGCCACAGCTCATGGGTTTAAAGCCCTCAAGAACAGCTAAGGCAGGTCGAGAGAGGCGCTTTGAACAGGGCCGTGTAAGTAAATGTTTTGTGTGCAAAAAGTGAGCAAAGAAATATTGACTGGTGTGATAACCCCAGGTAAAATTGCTCTCCTGCACCCCATCCCCACCCCCTTTCTGCCAGATTTGAGGCCAAACCTCTGCAAAATATCTCCAATTTGCTGTGGGGAGAGTTCTGCAGGAGCTGGAGCGGGGAACTCCACAGTAAGGAGTGCCAGCAGTGCCCTGCCGCACGCAGGGGACGTCACGGGGAGCCCTGGCACACAGCTGGGACCAGCCTGTCCCCCGAGAGAGACACAGCACAGCCACCCTGCTCTACGCAGAGGAGACTCACCCCTCTCCGCTTCTTCCTGGCTTGTATCTGAGATGTCGTAGTGGGAGACACAGACCTGGAAACATGGCTGGAAAGAAAGAAGAGAGAATCATTTCTTGTGCTAGCTGGAGAGAAACCTCTGTCGCACATATGCTTTACACACGTTTGCCATCTGCAGTTTCCCCCTGCAAATAATGTCTTCTATGGTTTCCATCCCATTTTTACCCACAACACAGAGCTCAGGAATTGGGGACGGGGAGCCAAGCAGAGACTCGAATCCCACTCTCTCCACTCTGAGAGTCTCCCACCAGCCTGGGACAGATTTCTGCACCAAACTGCCCATCTGCAGCCAGGCACACATCTCCTGCAATCCCAGCCCGTGCTTGCACCTCCACGGGGCTGGAAAAGCAGCGATCTGAGCTTCGGAGTCGTGGCCTTTTGTTTCCTCCATCTGCAAACCTCCCGGCTCTCATGTCTGAGCCTGCCCCGTCTGCAGGGCTTTGCATCTCGGAGCTGCGATAGCGCGAGCACGTATCGGAGCTCCCACCCAGGGCGGCAGCGAAGGGCTGGGGGCTCCTCAGGGTGAGGCTAACAGCAGCGTTGATGTGGTTTCTGAGGGCTTCCTGGAGACTCGCTTCACAAATCACAATTTTGGGGGTGGGCTGTGATATTCTGTATGTACGGACACCCCTGAACCAGACAAGACCTGGGCAGGGGGACCACCCATCAGGAGGTGATGGAGCAGGGCCCCTGCCTGATGGCCGACAGCCCTGGGGACCAGCTCTGGATCGAGGGACAAGGGGACAGGCTAAAGAGAAGGCCCCCACAAACCATCCTGTGCCTGGTGGGCATGGGTGAGGCTAAAGACACCAAAGGTCAGCTCTAGGGGAGGCAAAGTTCAATCCTTACGCCCCCATGGAGGTGAAGTCTCCATTAGGATGGATAACCAGGCGTGGGAAACTCCTTGAAGCAAAACCCTTCTGCTCCGGGGGAGAGGCCGGCTGGGCCACCTGCCCCCTCCCCGAGCAGCTTTTCTCCCTCTGGAAAGCGGGACTGGCTCCGGGCTCTTTCTGTGCCTTACGAAACTCGGCGCAGGGATGTTAACATGCAGGCGAGACGGCCGTCTGCAACCCCGGCCAGCACAGCGCTCCGGAGGGACTCGGAGACCGCGCAAGACATACAAATCTGGAAAAGGGCATTTGGGTTCACCCCACCAAATCAAAATATTTTTCAGTTTGACGAAGCACTTTAATAGCAGTCTAATAAAGATGTTTCTGCAGAGACAGCGCTGTCTGCACAGCAAGCCAAAAACTAGACCAAACTCAGCCCATTAAAAATACATTTTGTTAGGCCCAAGTGAGGTGCTTTCAGAAGTGGTTTTACACAATCAGACAAAATAACACGTTCTTCTACTGCCTGCTCCGCTCCTCTCCATACAGGTACCCTATTTGAATGTCTGCTGGGTGGGCTTTCTCTGGGCATAGGTGCTGGCTGGCTGTGCAAGTACGAACACGCGTCGCCTGTATACATAAATGCACATACGATGAGCACGTGTGATGTGAGAACGGGCTCTGCGCGGACGCTGGGGTGCAGGGAGTAGGTGCTGAATTCACCTGGCAGGGCA